AGGACAGACAGTCTGTTATCCAAGGACAGTGAGATCAGGGCCAGCAAAGTCTTGGTGAAGATGGAGGATGGGAGCAGGCCAATTTTTTTTTTTTTGGACAGTATTCAGAATTTCCACACAGCTTCAGTGAGGTACAAGGTGTTGAGAAACAGATGGGGAAACTCGAACACAAGAAAAAGCTAAATGCTGATCTTCAGCTACCAGTCACGGGTCCCTGGACACTCAGGCTCTTGGAGGTAGGCGGTGCAGGGCGGAAACTGGCTGACCTAGAACAGTGGGGGAAAACTCTCCCTCCATCCCCACCAGGCCCCAGAGATTTTGGGGTGATAAAGAGGGGAGCAGTGGAGGCACGGTGATGTTGTTGGGGGGAGAAATGAAGAAGACAGAGAGCGAGAGATACTCAATATGCTGACATGAAAAAAATCTTCACTCAGAAGTGAGTTGAAAACAGTTTAAATTATTTCAGAAAATAAATACTGCAAGATATTTTGGTTTCTTGTACTTATAATGAAAACATGAGTGTCCAAATGGAGGACTCATTTGCTCATTGTTTGATCTTGGAACTAACCATGAAACTTTCCCAGAAACAAAAATAAAATACTCGTTTGGCAACTCATTTCTCTGGCTCCCAGGATCTTTTTTCTTTTTCTTTTTACTGCTAATTTTTCAGTTGTTTAACTTTGGGGTAACATTTTCAGTCTTCCATATGTGCACACGCTTTACTCCTCGGTACCTTAGCGCCGTCCTCTCCACCCCCTCCTTTCCCTCTTCTCTCTGGCAACCAGTGTACTTTTCACAGTTTAAAAAAATTACTTTTGCTGTGTTTGGCCTCTATTTTTTTCTGTTACTTATATTTCACAGATGAGTGAAATCATCCAATATCTTTCACTTTCTGACTTATTTCACTTAGCATGATCATCTCAATTTCCATCTTTTTTGGCCCCCAAAGGCACTACCTTATCTTTTAAAATAGCTGAGTAGTATCCACTGAGTATATATGCCACAATTTCTTTTTCTAGTTCTCTGTCCTTGGACACTTAACGTTGATCCATCACTTGACAACTGTGAACAGTGCTGCTGGGAGCGTACAAGACTTTTCACATTAGTGTTTTCCTGTTCTTTAGGTAAATAACCTAGCAGTGGTATTGCTGGGTCATGTGGGGTTTCTATTTTTACCTTTTGAAGGTATTACCATACCATTTCCCATAGAGGCTGCACCAGACTGCATTCTTGCCAACAGTGGGTAGGGGTTCCTTTTTCTCCACATCCTCACCAGCATTTGCTGTTCCCCTTCTCTTGGATTAGGTCATTCTCACTTGGGTGAGGTGGTATCTCTTTGTGGTTTTTATTTGCAAACCCCTTATTATAAGTGCTGTTGAACTTTTTTTGTGTTTTATATGTAGGGCATCTGAATGTCTTCTTTAGAAAAGGGTCTATTTAGGTCTTTTTTTCCATTTCTTGATAGGTTGTCTGTTTTTCTGTTGTTGAGTTGTTTCCAAGGATACTTTCTATCCTTGGAAAATTAGCCCTTTGTCCTATGTGTGATATGCAAATATCTCCTCCTGTCTTTAGGTTGCTTTTCATTTCTGTGGTGGTTTACTTTGGGGTACAAATGTCTTAGTTTGATATAGTCCCACTTGTTTATTTTTATTTTTGTTTTCCTTGGCTTTGGGGTTGTGTCCCTAAATATATCTTAACTTTCTTTTAAGTGTTTTAGGGTTTCAGTCCTTATATCCAAATCTTTAATTCATTTTAAATTAATTTGTGTATGCAGTTAAGTATGGATCTAGTTTCATTTTCCAAAAATGACCACATTATGTAAAGCAAATTGTAGATTTAATGTGACATTTATCAAAATCACAATGACTTTTCTCAAGGGACTAGAACAATGATAAAGTATGTATGAAATATAAGAGGTCCTGATTAGACAAAGCAGTCCTAAGAGAAAAGAAGTAGAACTCCCCGATTAAACCATACTACATGACAACAGTAATCCAAAGTGTGGAACTGTATTGGAACAACAACAAAAATATAAAACAGAATGGAAAGTCCAGAAATAAACTTTCACAAATAGGAACAGTCTATTTCTGACTACGGACTCATGACTATACAATGGAGAAAGGAAAATCTCCTTAAAAAATGGTGCTGGGAAATATGGATGGCCAAGATCTTTTTGATCTACCCTCTCCTAATTCCTGGGCACTGTATCCATTAATGCCCCTCATCTTTTCCTACCAGTGTAAGTAATATAGGGGCACTTAGCTGGGGGAGGCCTATACTGGGGTTGAGGGAGGCATTGCAAGCCTGGGAAAGGCTGGAAATGGAAGAGTGAACTTTGTTGGGTTAAATTTAGTGCTCTCTGGAGTTAAGACAAACCTGGTTTTGGATCTCTGTGCCACTTCTGATTGGACATGACCTTGGGCAAATTACTTCACCTTCTGAGTGGTTTCTCTTTTGTGTAATGAGAAATCAAGGAGCTTCTGCCCCCTAGGGGTTGACATGAGGATTATACAAAGGGATAATTAGAAACAGCTGGCCCATAATAGCCATTATGGAGCTTCTAACATAAATGGAAAAAAAGGTCCCCTGCATTCACCATCAAATCAGAGGCCTTCTGATAATGTTTTGCTTCTGGATATTTCTTTGCTCTTTGGTGCTTTTTCTCTGAAAGGTAGATCTGGACAAAGAGCTCATAAGACCAATTGTGTCAGGAAATCTAGTGACCATTAATGAGAAAGGAATTGAAAGCAACACTTAAGTAAGGTTTCCAAGTCACTCTCACTGGGGAGAATGAGTTGGAATCTCAGAATCAAGGGGAAAAAATGCACGTTAAACCTAAAGGCTGCCTCCTTTTTCAAAAATGTAAAAACATTCACCTTTTTAGACAAGTAGATGAATGAGACACAGGTATACAATACTCAAATCCTTATAAAACTTTTCATTGTCATATAAAATAATTTTAAAAATGTAGACTTCCCCCCATGTGGTATAGATAAGAAAGCAAATGGTTCAAAATTTCATCATATGAGTCAGATGACCTTTTGCACTCAAAGCAAAAAGTCCTTCAGTTGCTTTCTGGAATAGAAGCATTAAGGCTGCATTGCACACTGGCTTACTTTCTGGAGAAATGGTTGTATAATCATAGAAACGTGCCACTGGAGTCTGGTTAAAACCAATCAGCTCTTTGAATACTTTCATGGAAATATCTGACAACCATGAAAAGCTAAGGAAGAGGAACTGAGTTTTGGAAAATTCTGCAGAGCTGCCCTTGGCCACGGACAGAAAAAAGTATCAACAAAAAATAAACTGTTATAAAAAAAAAGTATCAACAAGCACTATTTTCATGTAGGGCCTGACTTAGTCTTAAAGACCCAGCTAAGTTCTAAAAGAACAGAGCCCAGGAGTGTACATGATCAACACCAAGGTTAACACAGTCCACTTAGCACTAGTTTCTTTAAAAAACATTCAAACTAAGTACTTTTGACTAGGATCAGAGTTCCCAAGTATCTAAGACACCTTTGAGCTTTGAGCTCAGAAGGTCAGCTGGTGCTTGGGGGTTGTCATCAAGGTTCACCTCTAAGCAGAGGCTAAAGGAAGAATTTCTAGCAACTGCCTCTGGTTTGGGGCCTGGGGGTCCCTAGGCAAGGTTGTCTCCACAGAACTCCTAGAATTGTGGAAATCTCTTTTCCAAAATGGCTTTGCTGGAAAAATAAAGCAGCAGCTGATATTTATAGGCAATTGTGGTCCACTCAGGTCCCTATTATTTGCTTCCTAAAGGAACTTCAAAATGGAAACAGAGCTTCTGCCTTATCCTTCAAACACAAATCCTTTGAGCACATTTATAAAAACAAACATAATGAAATACAGCCTGCTATTTCCCTCTGCCCCTAATTTTGCTTTTTAACCTTTTCAAAATCCACTCTTATGCTGACAAACCCAAACGGAAAATGACAGCTGAGTCAGCTATTCATTGGCCTACACTCATGCCTCAAGGCAAAACACAAAAAGCAGAAGAAAAAGTCTACTATTGTCTTTTGACTTTGGAAACCAGAGGCCATGGATCATATCAACAGACACCAAATCCTGGAGAACACTGATTTAGGGATAAGAGCAAGCCGTTCCTACCCCCACCCCTCAGGCGAGTCAAGCAATGAGTCAAGCAATAGCTAGATGCTACTGGGGAGGCCTTCAGCCCTGGGGCTTGGTGGTTTGCTCTGTATCCAGTGCTCTGTCCCTGTGCAGTTGGGGTGGACACCTCCCTGGAAGCTCCACGCTGGGAGGTTTTTATGAACAGAGAGACCTTTGCCTGTCCCTGAGCCTCACCCCAAAGAAAAGTAGTTGAGACATGGAGTTGAGTCAAGGATTGCATACCCGTTGCCTTCAAGGGCATAAAGGTACTGAACGATCCTCAGGCCCATGACAGCTAGGCAGGTGGCAGCAGGAGGCAGAGGGCCCCAGCCTCCAAGGCCAGGTGTGCCAGGCCTTGTCACTACAACAGCACGTGGCACTGAGGGCCCATGCTGACTTCTGTCAGCAGGTGCCAGGAAACCCTCCTCTCCCCATTCTAGCCCCAGACCTTGACCTCTAGGTAAAAAAATGTGTGTGTGTGTGTAGACTCCTCAGTCACTTAACAGGACAGGAGCTAAAACAGCAATTCTGTTAAGAAAAACATTTCTTTTCATACCTGAGATTGTGGAGTGAGATCTGTCCTTGCTAAGTGTTCTCTGACCTACCTAGCTTCTCCACGGACAGAAAGGAAGCCAAGAGGCACACAGATGACTTCTGGCCAGACACTTGGTCAGTTCTGCAAGCTGCAGATGCTGGCTGCCTGCTGGGCTCACTGCCGTCTTAGAGCACGCCTTCCTCCTGCCTACCCATTTTACAGAAAAGGCAACACGTCTCTTCCCCCACTGGCAGCACCGAGCAAAGGAAGGCCAGGGGTGTGCCACACAGCGAGTTTGAAATGAGGGGAGGATCCAGGGACCTGATGAATATTGTCTGCCAGTTTGGAATCTACGCGCTGCACTGCCAGCCACACCTTGGGCTCGCATACACCCAGCAGTCCTGCTTCGCTTCATTCTTGGCCTCCAGTCAACTTGTGGAAGAGCTCCTCATCCAGCGTTTCATTCTGTCCCTTGGAGCGGGTGGACAAGAAAATGTAGCCGCCGATGTATTCATGCACGACCTTGCAGTCTGCACTCAGGCAGGTGAATGCAATGGAGACGTTCTGGTCAAACTCGATGGCCACCTGGAAGAGGCAGGCATGGGGCAGCTTAAGTAACTCTGGCAAGGAAAGATAAGAAAGTGGCTGCTTTGCTGTAAAAGGGCCTGAGGCATTTATAGAGCTGAGGCAGTTGGCAGATTTTCCCCTAAATCCACATGGAACCGAACCATCTCCATTTAACAGTCACAAAACACCAAGTTGCTCTCCTTGCGCCCTCTTATGGTGTTATTTTGCTGCACACTAACAAAACATCCTAACTCCCAAAACATATTTTCTGTTTGCCTCTAATGCTGATTCCTTCGAGTTAGGGACATTTCCAGAAAGCACCATTTTATTGGCGACAGCTAAGCAAAGCAAACATCTAGAGGCAGAGCTCTGTCATATGAAGTCAGACCTTCCTCATCATGTGAGAACCTCTCCTTTCTACTTGACACCCCCAGCCCCTACCCCATTCCTTGGCCAGGAGGTCAATCCAGGTTTGCCCCATTTACTGTGTCATGAATGTAATGAACTATGTAATGAATCTTTTCTCCTACTGATCTCTCTGTCATTAATATTCGCTCACTTGTCCAACCTGAGAACCCAGAGGGGTGGGGGGCTTTTCCTCTGGACCCAGATAAAAGTTCCATTTCGATTGAGATGGAAAAAGGCACAAAATGATGTAAAAATTAACTATTATTTTAAAAAAAGTTCCATCTCAGGTAGTTTCTACCATATAATTACCAGCTTAAATTTTATTTAATCCTACACTGAGGCGAAGGACATGACTCAAGCAGCTCAGCAGTTTTAGTCTGTCTTTATGAGAAGTCTGTAGGAAGCCCCAGCTCATTTGTGTTAATTCAGAAGCATTTGGTCTGAACTTGTTAGGAAAGCACTAGAAACTACAGCTACTTATTTCAGCAGACAATTACCACATGCTGGAGTTTTTTAATCTTGAAGATAAGAATACCTTTCAAAAAAATCAGAATAACCAGCAATTTCAGTGACCACACATTTACAGCCTCAACATCAAATACCCCAAGCTTTCACTTTACCTGCCGGATTTCCCAATTTACATTCCACTGTTTCATGTTTGTGAATCTCCATGTTGTAAGTGGAATCCCAGTGGCTATGTCGATTCTTATCAACCTGTTATATGAAACTCCCAGAATGTCATCTTTTTTGCTTCCTCTAAATCTGAAAAAGGAATGAAATTATTTTATTATTTTTTAAAGATTTGTTTAGTCATGTATATGAGAACTGGGGTATAGGCCAGAGGTGTAGGGGAGGAGGTGAGAGGATTCATCAGAGACAGAGTGGGGAGCAGAACAGGCAGATGGATGGATGAAGTACACTGCTGAGGGGAGCAGTGGATGGGTCAGGAGAGGTCAGCTGCACCCTGTGGGTCACCTCCAGGGCGGGGAATAGAACTCGCACTGATGTGGCTGAGGCAAGCTTGCAGTGCCACACCTTAACCTGCTGTGCCACCAGGGAGGGCCCGGGGGCAGATTTTAAATGAGCTACTTTGGTGATCAGAAAAGTTTGATGAAATGCCCCTTGCTGGAGGGGGTAGGAGAAGTTCAGTCTGTGGAAGAGCCAGGAAAGCAAATAAAAATTGTACTTTCCTGTAAGTCAGCTCTTTAAAATACAAACCTACCTTTCAAATGCCAATTTATAAAATGAGAGTGAACTGGCCATTCCTTTAACTGTAGGATGAAACCTAGATTTTCCTGAAACACCAGTCTTTCTTTTAGGACACAAAAAATGTGAGTTAGTTTGCAAGCCGGCTGTGGACAAGTTCTGGGGAATGACATATTCAGAGGGGCAGAGCCATTGTGCTTGGTGGGATAATGAGTGAGCACCCTGAGTTCAATGCCAAGGTGTGCTCCTGGCCAGGAGGTGAACCTGGACGAGTCCCTGGGGTCATTTTTCTGCAACTTAGTGTTGTCACCTGTAAAATAGAAGGTGGCAGTAGAGGTTACTAGTCCTTTAGAACTGGGATACCAGAATTGTTGCCTGTGGGCAGCCCCTCTTCCCTCTTCTCTGGGCCCCTGAGTACCACTTATGATGAGCAGTGCAAACGGTAGTGGGTGGTGAGCATTTTCTTGCGGCCCTACCGGGGCTCGGGCCAGAGGCCAAGGCCAGCAGTGGTGGTGGGCAGCAGGGGTTCCCTCCCACAGCTTGTCAGGGCAGGCAGCCCCTGAGTCCGTGCTGCAGGGAGGAGTACCGGCCTGTGGACCAGCTCCCGGCTGTGGAGGGGCCATGGGCTTGGTGCCTGGACTGGAGAACAGAGAGCAATCAGGTGTGAGCTATGAGCTGGTTGGTGCCATGGTCCAATCAGCCTCAGGCTTGAAATACATCTAAGCAGACTTGTAGGTGGGACCTTAAGAGAAGATGTAAGGCAGGGCAGAGAGCTGCTCAGAACTCTCCTAGGCTCGGGCTCACTCGCTGGACTCTCACTCTATTCCTGACCTCTGCAGAAGAAAGACGCAGCATCCGGACACAGGCCTCCAAAGGAAGGAGAGAGGCCCAAAAAGCTTTGCAGAGAAGCCGAAGAGCTTCACAGAGGTTGGGGGCTGGAGAAGGAGCTGCCCCCAAGCAGCTACTCTGGCACCTCTGATTTCACTTTGGGCCCAGAAATCTTCAGAGAGCACGTCCTGAGAAGGCTGTGGAAGATAAGGCGCAGGTTTGTGGAGATCTCTCTGTGCAGAGACCCAAACATTCTGCAGAGCCATATCGCGGGCCATGGTATGAGACCCGCGAGCAGAGGAAGGTGATATGAAGGGAGCTGACAGATTTCCTTTCCCTGCGTCAGCTAGGTTTCATAGGTGTTAGCACTTTGAACAGATCCAGGAGGTTTTTAAGCACAGACAAAAGTATTTGGGACATTTGTGAAAGGGCAGTTGTCTAAAATGAGAAGTGTTCATTCTAGACTATGAGAGAAGGCCCTGGGCTCCATGGAGGGTGCTCAGCGTTGAATGGAATGTGAGAGACACACGTGAAAACTGTACTCACCTGACAAGGTAGTAGGTGATGCCAAATTCAGGGAGAGACTGCCATGCCTGGATGAACCGCAACTTGGCTTCAACCAGGGGCATATCGACCACATTCTGGTGAGCTTCCAGAATCCGGGCTGCCAGCTGAGCAGAGGGGGAGATGTCAGACGCTCCTTAGCACACACTGACTGCTCTCTTATTCTTTTAGCTCAGATTCCCAACAAGAAAAATAAGTGCAAGACCCAACTGTAGTTCTCTAATGACCCTTCCTCCCTTCTGTCTTTCTGTAAGAGATGGATGTCACTAGGGAGAACCAGGAACAAGATCAGCCAACACATACATTTCTAAACTTCATGAATATGGGGCTCTCATTTGGGGGTCCATGCAGTGTCTGGGGACAATGGTTCTACTTGAATCAGTTCATCTCGACTTTTCACCACTCTTCTGGAAGCATGGTTAAAATGATTTTTAACTATATTAAATCTGGGGATATTACCAAGGTCAGTTAGCAATATAGTTATCTTTAACAAAAGTAACAATAATTTCTTAATATATCTATTGCCCAGCCATCATACAATCCCCCTCTCTGCTGATTTCCCATGACATCCTCAATATTTTAATTCCCTATTTTATTTTAGAAAATACGAATTCCACTATTATCAATTGTCCCAAGATCAACAGTACCTGTTTAGACTTGTGCTTTTTTGCACACCGAGGGGACACAAAACTTTCTGGATTTATGTCCAGGTTTTCTAGACTGGAGGCCACCTGAGTTGTTGAGTTCCGATTTTTCATCTTTAGAAATGAGAGGATGTTGACAACCTCTGGCTGGTAGGAGCTGTCTGCCATAGTTTTGCCCTTTGATGCCAGGATGCAGGCAGCCATCCACTGGGCATATTGATTCTCCTGCAGCAAACACCAGAGGATTCAGAAGCAATTTCAAATGCTAAGCCACCCTGTAATACTAAATTATCGGTTTCCAAACATGGAATGATGCCACAAAGCACACGTTCTGAGAAACCGTTAATCACTTAACACCCAACACCCAACAGAAGCTTTTGAGTCCTGTGTTGAGCTTCTAGATGCTAAGGTGTTAAAAGGTGGGAACCCCAGCTTTGATAAATTCCATGCTGAGAACTTTTTTTAAATCTTTTTTTGTAAATAATATAAGTTTATTTTTACATCATTTTGTGCCTTTTCCCATCTCAGTTGTAACCCCCGTGGGCTTCCCATCACCAAATCACCCGTGTGCCATCACCAGAGTCCAGTGCATTTCCCTCCCCCCACCGTTTTGACTCCGTTCCTCCATCCCACCCCCGTCAAATGTCTCAGGTATATAGTTGTTCATTATTATTATTTTCTCACCATGCTGAGACCTTAAGATATAAAGATGAACCAGACACAAAAGTGTCATACAGCGTGGGCAAGTAAAAAACCCGAACTACCAGTCTTCCTTAACACACACTTCCACTTTCATATCATATCTGATTGCAATGACAAAAGGAAAATGAGGTAACGATCATTAACTGATTCCTGTACTATTTCTACCCTGGCCTATCCTTCGTGAAGACTAAATCCACTGATGTGACCACAGTGCTGACACTTACTCTTTACTACCTTTTCCCATTTTCCACCCCTGGTAGTAAAGAGGAATGCTTCTAGAAGCTGAGAGGGAGCCGCTGAAGTGTGGGATTCTCCAGTGCAATAGTAGGTGGGGTTCACTGACCTTCTGCCTTCATCTTCACCTCTGGGATCAACTCCCTCTGCCATGTAATTTTACAGCCCCTCAGAGCCAGACAGTAATTTCCCGCCACTGGACTTCGGGGCCGGGCATGAGCCTTGCTTTAGCAAATGGAACATGGCTGGGAATGCCCGGGTGCCCACTGCAGGCCAGGCCTGAGGAGGGCTCATGTGTCTGCAGTTATCTGCTGTGATGGCAGGTTGCAGGACCTCCCTAGCATGCAGCCTGGGGCCCAGAATAAACACATGAACTCAACCTGCAGCAAGAAGCCAAGCCTGCCAGGCCTGCCAAAGCAGATCTTTTCACAACCAGCCATCCAGCCTGATGAGCCAACCCAGTCTACCTGTGCCTGTTTCAGAAACAAGTGTTTACTTATGTATGTCAGGATTTCATGGTTCACATATGTTACAGATAATTGATACATTAGTATTTTGATTTCAGAAAGCTCCTCCGTTGTTTTATCCTCCACAAAGGGGCAGTGACAACATTTTTGTGGTTTTACTTACATGGTCACATCGCAGATACACTTCATTCATTCCATCGGCCACAGGGATTAGTAACTTGATTCCAAATTTTCTCCCTGATACATTTACATCTGGCACAACTTCACAGCCTGAATGATAAAAGGCAGGGGCAAAACTGAGTTCTGAGGATGCATTACATAAGTTCTGAGTTGTGCATCTAACAAAAGACCTTACATATACACCCCTCAGATTTAGTTATTTTCCAAAAAACAGGAACAAGCTGATAACATTAATTAAAGGATAACCAAATAAGAATGATGAGTTAACATGCATAAAGAAGAACATTTTCTTTTATGATGTTAAAATACACAACATCAATTAAATATACCTCTCAGGCTGATTTGGCTATTCTAACTCCTAAGAATAACTAGGAGTAAAAGCTTTAAAATAAACCTAAGCAGGTAGTGAGAAGTGAGATAAGCCAGAAAGAGAAAGAAAAATACTGGATGGTTTCGCTCATAGCAGGAGTATAATGGGCCAGGCAAGAAAATAATAAGAATAATGATCAGCCATATACCAGAGACATTTTGTGGGGGTGGAGTGGGGAATGGGATCAAAAACGGGGGTGGGGGTGGGGAGGGAAGTGCACGGGACTATGGTGATGGCACACGGGTGACTCGGTGATAAGAAACCTGCAGGGATTACAATTTAAATGAAAAAAAAAATGTACAAAATGATGTAAAAATAAACTGTTATAAAATAAAAAAATAAAATAAAATAAACCTAAGCAGGACTTGAGGACACTGGTCCATTGTTTCATAAAGAGAGGCTAGAATCTGCAGTGGCTTTGAGAAATCAGAGTAGGCGATAAAGCAACAAGTGTCAAATCCCAGATTCACTGTGAATTCAGAATCACGGTGCTGGAATTCAGAGGGCTTTTCAGGATCATACAGGGCCTCATGTCCTCAGCTTATGATATCAGTTACCCCCACTTCATAGATCTGGACTCAACGGAGAAGAAGGGGCCACAGAATGGAAATAACCACACTTCTGGACTGCATTCCAAGTCCCCAGGGAAGAGAAGGAAAGCCTCCATTTTGAAGCCGGGGACACAAATTTCTCTGAAGTAAACCTCGTTTCCATAGGCAGGAGGCTTTCATTCACTTACTAGGTCATGGCAGGCCACAGAAAGCTGTCATACCTTACCTCTAATCTTACCTCTAAGATTTAGCTTTTCTACTGGTTCTCCATGTTCAAGTTCCTTATTTTTATAGTAGGTGATAGATGTGTCTTTAAAGACGAACCAGTATTGTTTGAAAGCTTTTAACATTAGCTTCTTGGGCCTATAAATTCAAGTGCAAGAGGTGTTTAAACAACAATACAAATTCAAGCAGATCAAAAAGCTTTTAACAACAGATGCTTCAGTGGGTTGTCAGTTCCATGTCTGGGGATGAGAAACAAGAACAAGGTGGGCTGGGACTCGGGTAGGACTCTGAATGTCTCCCTAATTTATATTCTAGAAGAATGCTCAAACTCTGGTGTCGATCAGAATTAAAAGGGAGCTTGGCTCAGTCCAAAAGATTCAGCTTCAGCAGGTACAGTTTAGGGCCTGGGCACCTGCATTTGAGGGAAGCTCCTATAGTGGTTGCCCAGAGTTGAGAAACACTAGACCAGTAGACCTCCAAACACTAGACCTCCAAACTAAAACTGGGCACACCCTACCTTTAAAATACTGTATCTGGGCCCTCTCTGATGGCACAGCAGGTTAAAGCACAGCACTAAGAAGGTAAAGCCATTTCAGCATGAGTTCGATCCCCGCCTGCCCCGGAAGTGATCCACATGGTGCGGCAGACCTCTCCCGATCTGCCCGCTGCTCCCCTCAGCAGTGTACTTCATCAGTTGGCCTATTCTGCTCCCCACTCTGAATCCTCTCACCGCCCCTGTGTCTCTGGCCTGTACCCTAGTTCTGTATGCATAAATAAATAAATCTTTAAAAAATTGTATCTACTTCTTAACATATTTATAGTCATTTACTTGCAGTATATGCATATATGTATATTACTATAAAACCTACACCAGCATTAGCACACAGAAAGAGTTAATATGAAAAACTCATTTTGTTTCAAGAAGGGAGGTTATTGTTGAGTTACATGTTGCCCAAAGAAGGAAGTAGACTGTGGCTATGTCTACTAAAACAGTCTTTGTAATTTAATGTCGTATACCTATTTCTGAGCATAAAACAAAGCTACTAAATTCCATCTTACTGATGTCAGTGTCTCTCTTGCATAAACTGATCAGAATAATCTGCATTTTTATGCTTTTTAATAAGTGGGTTTAAAACACACTGTCTTCTTGCACTGGATGGTGTTTAAAATTCTTTGTGCAAGCTTCAAAGGTGTGCTGATAATATTGTTTGAGTAGGGCAGTGTCTTTCTTGATAGCACTGTGACTTGGCAATATTGCCAAACAACTGCTTGGAAAGCTCTCATTAAGTGTGTACAATATTTTGAAACTCTCTTGAGGGTTCCTATTCATGTCCACTTGTTATCACAGAAAAATCATAAATTTGGAACATTTATTAAAAACACACAAAAAAATGTGTAAGTAGTTCATGTGCTAACCAGTGAACTTTGATACAAGACCAAAGATTTTCTGATCATTCTTCATCTCTTTAAAAGTATTATAAAGATAAGGACTCTCCTTGGTGGTGCAACAGGTTAAAGCAACACATTCTGAAGCTCTTGAAAGCCACTGCAGCAGTTCAATCCCACTGCAGCAGGAGTTCAATCTCCAGCCAGGGAAGTGACCCACATGCACAGCAGACCTCTCCTGATTCTGCCCGCTGCTCCCCTCAGCAGTGTATTTCAGTAGATCTGCCTGTTCTGCTCCCCACTCTGTCTCTGGTGAATCCTCTCACCCACCACACCACTGGCCCGTTCCCCAGTACTGTAAGCAGTACTGAAAAAACATTAGAAAGACATATAACTTGCATTGCCATCAGAAGTCTATTCTCCATCAACCACCATGAGTTAATCCTTTTTACACAACTTATCCATCCCCTTTCTGGTTAACATTATTTTGTTTTATTCAAGAATCTACTATATTTTAAGTCTTGTTTTTATAAAACGAATCTCATCAATCATCTCTTATAGCACATGGTGTAAGTCTAACTGGAACTCCCAGTAACTTGTCTAATAATTTTATGCATGCCTCTCTCTATAGCCACGTGGGGGAGCCATTCTATTTATTCTATTTATAGTGATCTCTTCTACAGGGGTTATGGTTTGGGCATAAATGTTTTTGTCAAATGTGAAATTTGCTGGTAGGATTATATCTTGTGTGGTTTATATTTATGTTGGCAAAAATCGGAACCTTCAGAGAGTAGTTGGGCATACAATTCTAGATTGACTTAGCTTCTCTTGGTACTTTGAAGGTATTTTTAAGACAATGAGAAGCTGTCTGCTCATTGCAATATTTTTCTCCTGTAGGAAATCTATCTTTTCTGTCATCAATCATTGGTTGTATGAAGATGCACATTTATACTGATTACTTTTGCTTGAGACTTGTGACTCCTGAATCAAAAGATTTTTATCTTCAATAGTTATGGAAAATTCTCAAGCATTCTCTTTTGAATGCTTTTCCCCATAGCTCTCCTCTGGGACTGCTAGGAGATGTACATTCCATTTTCCATTTCTACTTCTCTTCATCTGTGTTTTTAAATTTGATATTTAATGCACGGATTCAATTTTAAATTTCTATGTCTACTCTTCATTTTTAGGATTTCTATTTGGTTTCTATTTAATATTTCCTATTTTATTTCATTATAATTTACTTAATGATTTATAACACACTCATATGGCTCTTCAGATTGTTCTAGTAGCTCAAATTATGGAAATAGCTCATCTTCTTTTTAGCTCTGCTTTCTCTCTTTTACATGGTGGATCATTAACTTACACGATTATTAATTGTAATTTGCAGGTTTTTCTTTTTCTTTTTTTTTTTTTTTAAAGGTATAAAGGATATTACTGTAGAAGGCCCATAGCCCATGCATGTTACATTGGCGCTATTTTCTTCCAAATATGCTTGTAATTACATTTGCTAGGGCTTCATAAATTTTGTGATCTGGACCAATTTCTATTTCATTTTCTAAGGATGAGTCTCATACAAAACATTTCAACTTAGATTTACATTGGTGTATGGTACAGATCTAGGTTCTGATTTTTCAAGACAGGCTTTTCATTTCCCTCTAGAAACCCCCATGCAAGGAAGAGCTTCCTTACTGCTTCTTTAGGGTGACAGGTTCTTTCCACATAAAGATGCCCATGCAAGGATGAACTTCCTTACTGCTTTTTTTGGGTGACAGGTTCTTCTCCCTGGCAAGTCTGCAAGTTTCTGCAGGAACTCCAGTCCTGGCTCACTGTACATAAGCATTAAAACTTCAGCTTCTGTCTCTTTACAGGGATTCAAATGCCAGCCCCAAGCCAGGAGAAGCTATATGCATAGCCCAGCTCCCTCTGTGCAGCTGAGGCTTCATTCATAACTAGGTTTCTTCAACTTCCGGCAAGCTGGGACTTCCCAGTCTCCAACATCAATTTTGCTTTTTTCAGAAGTCATATGTTTTTGTGGCAAGATTGCGGTTCACATTAGATCAGTTGCCTCCAGCTGTAGTCAATCGATTGCTGGAAGTGGAAACTCACTATATGGTAGTTTCAGTGGATTTTATTCAAGAAAAAGGAGCTTCACTGTTAAAGAATAAAACATTAAAAATCAAAGGACTAGTTTAACACTTTTCTGCTGATAAGGAAAGGAAGTCCAGGGAAATGAAGAGCATATTTAAGGTCATACACCCACCAGGAATAGCGCTCTATTCCTCCTTTCCTCTCCCTCCTTCATTTCTTTCTTCCATGAACAATATTCTGTATTGAATCGAATGTTCTGAGGCCTTTGACAGAGAGGCCACTGACTAAATACGAAGACACATTTGTGAGTCTAGCTGTCACACTATGGCAATGCGGATGTGGGCTTAACTCCCAGATACACAAACATCTGTAAAAGGAAATTATCATTTGGTCTGTGACAAGTAGATTTGTTTAATAGAGACTATAGCAACCGATTTCTTCAGTTATTAATAATTTATACAAATCTGTTTGTGGTTCAATTGCTTGCTTTTTTTCTGGGGCTCTGTGTAACAATATGTGTGGTTGCAACTATTTATGCCAGAGATTACATGAATGACTCTATTGTTTGATTACATGAATGACCCTACAAGACACTGAAAAAAAAAACAAAAAAAACAAAACCACACATAGCTAAAAAACCTGGAGAAACCCAGTGGCAAATATCATTACCTTGGGACCAACCCTGGTCTTTTGAGTATACCTGATTCACTGTTCATTCTTTCTAAGACTTTCTTTGTATCTTGTGTATCTGAGTAACTTGTGTTTCTCTTTAGACCATCTGACCTAGTAAAGTATCAGTTTAAGAAAAGTCAACAAACCATAAAGTGACTTAAATAACTGATAGAATTTCAAAGGGATCCAAGTCTTTTCATCTGAACTTGGCACCACTACAAACATGGAAGTCCTCTTTTCTCTACAAACAAAAACTTCTCTGCCTTCTAAGAGTTTCAGATTGACCTGAGGTTACCAGGGAGTTTATCAAAAATACTACAAGGTGACCACATTCTATAAGCCCAGATCAAAGTTCTAGAGACAACTGATTTTAAACTATTAAAGAACCTTCTAATGATATCAGAGGCCAAAGCCAACCACATGAACTGTAATAACAACTCCAGACTAGCACAGACTTTCATTACCTCAGTATGAAAGATGGACCCAAGGGGAGGTGTATTTCCATTTACAGGAAGCCGAGGCTTAGAGACATAAGGCTACCCAGCTTGAATGTGCCATGGAGTGAGGATATTTGATTCATCTCTCAGATGCTAAAGCCTCATTCTCTTATCTTGGACCATGAACCTGCCTGATGGAAAGTATAATCTCAACTCCTGAACTCTACCTGCCCGGTTTTCTTACAAGTAGCCTTCCTCCCCCCCTTTGAGGTAACTTACCTAAATAACCTGAGGTTATCTGCCAGTGTAGGGATGTCAGTAATGTCCTCCTAAGGAAAAATAGATGACATTTCATAAGCAATGGTTAAATAGGTGGAGTGGTAACCTTGCACCTGCATGGCACAGTGTTGGAATCCTCCATCACACACAGCTGACTGGAGCAGAGTGCATTAACACTAAATAAAATGAAAAACATAATTCCTCAGTTGCACACACACATTAGCCACTTCTTCAGTGGTGGCCTTGGAAGCAGGGCTAGGGGAGGCGTAGGAGTGGAATGAGGTACATGCAGTGATTTTTTGGGGTATCTGGCAAAATTTTGCATCTTGATTTAGATGGTTTCATAGTGTGTCTCTGGGTATGTTTCATATATCACACAAATGAAAAAGAGATAAAAAATTGATGAAGCACAACCCCGACCTACCAGTCAAGTTAAAATTTGAGTTAGAAACAATGGATCTTATGTACAAGCATTATATTTTACAATATTGACATCAGAGTGACTTTACTGCCTCTAGTTCAATGATCAAACTCTCAAAAGCAATCTGATTGATTCCACAGTGTTGGCTGGTGCCTGTTTTCAAACTGAAAAGCCTACTGCTAGTAGGCTTTAGTTTTAAGGAAGGGAGGAGAGACATTTTCATTTATCCTAAGAGGAATCACTTTCTCACTGTCTACATTAAGTGGAGGAAGTGGATCAAGAGAACTCTGATTTTAGGTGGTCGGTGTCTCCTGTCAATGTGAGAAAGGAATTTACTTTGCATCAAGCATTAGCTTTTGATTGATATAAATTTCCTGCTTTAAGGCATGTAATCAAAGTCCAACATACATTAAGCATCTAAGGATATAGTGGCTCCTTTGATCTGTTTCGATTTATATCCAATTACAATGGACCCACCTCTGGGCTTCAGTGTGATCAACCCTAAATACTCCCATGATTAAATATCCAATTCGTCTTTGTGCCTGTACTTTCTCTATTCTCACGGCTGCCTTATGCAACAGGCTGGGTAATGTTTCCTAGACTTAAGCAAAAGAACTAATTCCATGTTCTCTACTTCGTGAGATGAGCACCTAGCAGTTCCCCACCCCCACCGTGCTAATTTAACCTTCAAAAGCTCCACAATGAAGAGCAGCCTCATTTGGAGGCTCAGAAGTATCTTACAGCCCCTTGCAGAGCAACCTGAGGGAAGCTGTTCAGTTCCCACTAAGTTCAGCTGGTCAGATGCGTGTTTCCTTTTCTCAAATATGTTAGATGCACATTTTCCAAAATCAAGTGACATATTCTCTCACTTCACATTTAAAAATGTTCATCCATACTTTTGAATAGATCAGGACAAAGCCTCAATTCTGAGATATTAGAGATGTTCATACCAAAGTGTTATCTGCTTTTCCACATTCCAGGGTCACTTCCAAATTAGAAAGTGCTGCTTCTATTTCATCAACCTCAGTCTCATTTGTCAAATCCTGTATTTCAGATGACAACGACAGCTTGCTAATGTGGTACTATAACAAAATAGAGATTTCAGAAATATCATTAATGCAAAGGACTCCATTGGCTATTTCTTATTTAAGGACAATTTTCCTGTAATAATGAACCTCAGTCACCTAGAAGGAGATCGCCCTCCCATGTGGGGGAAATGACATTTACATCAAAATCATGGTGAGATTTATGGCTGGTTCAGACTTAGTTCTTTTCCATTCCTGGCTTGTCATGGGGAAGAGGTAAGAACTGGCAGACTAATGCCTTACAAAAGAGGTGCCTGTGTATGGGCTATGAAGAGCATTTTAAATTTACTTCCCTCACCTTCAGCTCTTCAAAGAAAAGACAATAGGAAGAAAAGCAGAACAAACTGGCTTTGTCTCCTTTAGAGAAAAGGTACTGAAGTGTTCATACCTGCAGTGCTGCAAAGATCAACATTTCTTCTTCTGTGCAGTCAATTTCTTCTAAGAGAATGGCCCACCTGGCTTGTTCATAGAGTTGGTTTATTCGGACAGCATCATACTAGAGAAGAAAATGAGTGTGTTTGCATGAAGAGGGCGTATGTATATTCCACAGTGAAAGAAATTCCAGAATAACTGAGTTAATTCCCCAGTTTATCATATACAGTAAAACTTAATTCAGGCCACAAACTACGGGTTAGCCTTTGATTATTTTTAGTGGTCAAAAAGTGAATCAGTCATAAATACGGTGACATGAAAAGATGGCCATGATCTACTATGAAGATCAAAGAAGCAAGTCACACAACAGATATATGATTTAATTTATGTAGAGTAAAAGATCGTGACCATCTGCTCAAAACCAGGTTTGCCAAGGATGGCTCATCATCGAGCTGTTTATTTGTGGCAAAATATCTATGACATGAAATTTACCAACTTAACCATTATTTGCTGTATAGTCTAGTGGTATTAAGAACATTCACGTGGTTCTAAAATCATCCTACTGTCCACTTATAGAATTCTTCAACTTGAAACACTGAAACTCTGGACCCACTGAATAACTTGATTCTTTTTTGCAGTGGGTTTGATTAGCACTGGTTTATTTTCTTTAGCATTAACTTTATGCATACTAAGGAAAAGGTGATAGGGAAAGTAAAAAGCTGAAGTTAGTTAAAACCAGCAAATAGTGTTGCTATCATCAGAGAAGTGGAAACCTAACTTGCTGTGTAGGTTTTCTCAGAATTTCTACAGCTGCCAGGGAAAGGAATACAAAGCAAAACCAAGTGGGTGATATTCAGGAAGCTGGAATAATGCAAACATTAAGGAAGTTTGTCTGTTTTGTGAACTTTGCAGAGGTCATGGAGCTAGTCCCAGAAGCCTCCAAATATGGATTGATCAAATACAACATACCTGAGAACCTTTACAGAAGCATTATTCATAATTGTTCCAACTGGAAACAATCCAATGTCCCTCAACTGGTGAGTGGATAAACACAATATGGTCCATTTCTCCGCCTGTGTACCTGTCCATCCATCCATTACCACCCTCCCACCCATATGGGATGACTTTCGGCAGTGAAAAGAAGCACACTACAACCCACAAAATAACACAGATAAATCTCAAAGACATCATGCCAAGTAAAAGAGTACAGACACAAAACTACATACTATATGAGCCCATCTACATGAAATTTCTAGAAAAGGCAAAAATCGAGTCAGAAAGCAGACCAGTGATGGTCTGGGGCTGACCATAAATGGGTATGGTCATCCATCCATTACCACCCTCCCACCCATATGGGATGACTTTCGGCAGTGAAAAGAAGCACACTACAACCCACAAAATAACACAGATAAATCTCAAAGACATCATGCCAAGTAAAAGAGTACAGACACAAAACTACATACTATATGAGCCCATCTACATGAAATTTCTAGAAAAGGCAAAAATCGAGTCAGAAAGCAGACCAGTGATGGTCTGGGGCTGACCATAAATGGGTATGAGGAAAATCTTTTGGGTGATGCAAGTGTTTAAACACTGAATTGTGATGGGTTGCCCAATGATATAAATTTACTAGAAATCTTTATATTGTACACTTAGAATTGGTGAATTTTATAGCATATAAATTATATAGTAAATATGCTGCAATCAAAAGACATGACAGTTGAAAAAGAAACAACTTACAAATGTACAGAGAAAAAAAAAAAACAGCAGTTAAACCCACAAGACCCGTAATTTAATTCACAGTTAAAAGGCAAAGCTAAATAGAAAGTGCAGTCACTGAAATTTGAATTGAACTAACAGACTGTCACAGCTGTCTGTCTGTCTACCCACCTATCCATTTCTATCTCTTTATCTCTATCTCACTGTCAGTGTCACTATCCTAATGCAGGAATTTTATGAGAGTAAGTTAAGTCACCCAAGAATGCTGTTCTGTCAAATGTAATCAGTGCAGATTTTAAAGTTAATAAAAGCTTTCACACCTGAAACCTCCTTCCCAAGCCAAATAAAACAATTCGTTGCAAGAATATTGGTTGCACAAAAGTGACATGTCTTTACAAACTGACAGTAGGGGAAAAACAGGCTCTGGAAAACGATGTCATAACCAGGTCCAGGCTCAGCCTGGACCACACTGAGGCCAGAACTGCTCTGTTACAGGCAGTGGAGGGTGTTGGCTTATTCTCTTCTGCAGGCTTGTTTGCATTCCCAAGGAGGCCCTGAGACAGCCCCGGGTCTTTCTCAGCCATTGACAGACATCCCAATAAGTCTCTTCTCTTCAAGAACTCCTTTCAGGGTTTCAGAAATGAAATCATTTATTTGTTCTGTGATTTGCTTCTTTAAACCTAACAATATGTCATGATCATCTTTTCATGGGCTCTAGATTTCCTTTGTTAGCTGACAACAGAGCCACCGAACATGAATCACATGGCTTTGGCCTCCTGCATGCCTTGAGTCCCTGCTTCTCTCCATCAAGTCAAGTCAATCAACTCCTCATAACCAACCAACAGTGCAAAGAGATACAAAAACTGCTAGATTTCATGCTCACATGAAGGGCTTACGGTTGAGATCTGATCATGAAGATTTCCTATTAGCCGAGTAAGAGCTGTCAAATCCTGCATCTCTTGTTAAAGCAAATGTACCTTTTCTTTATGCAGGTTTAAAAAAATGTATGGACTATTGAAGTTATAAAAGATTTTTAGAAAATATTCACACATTTTAAATACATTTAAAAGGGGCAAAATATATAATAGAAGGAATTCATTTTGGATGAATTCAAATGGGACAAGGGTATACAATAAAATGTTTCCTTCCCTTCCTTTTCCCTAAGAATGTTAGTTTCAGACTGCTTTGCACCTTGCCTTTTGCCCTTCAATCAATATTATTCTTGAATATTTTCTACATTAAAAAGAAAGCTGATTCATTCTTAACAATACTACTATATAGATCTAATATGTTTAACCAGTTCCATCTGATGAATGTTTAGGTGGTTTCCACCCTTGTCCTAAAACAAATAATGTAGTAATTGTTCCTGTGTGCAGTCATCGCAACTGGCAAATATGACTATTGACTGTAGAATAAATACCAATGGTGAATTTGCTGGTTCAAAGCTAAGAAGAATTGCAATTCTGAAAGGTATTGCCAAATTGTCTCCCACATAGGCTAGAATACTTTGTATGTCTACCTATAAGACATATGTATTAAGAGGATACATGTCTCTGCATCCCCCTATATAACATATAAAACTCTCAGCCAATACAAGCCTAAGACCCACTAAAGCTCTTTTTCAATAAACTATGTGTTTACATCCTTTGGTCATTATTCTATTGGGCTCGTGGTCTTCTTACTGTTGATTGTGGGAGCTATTTATATATTAGGGAAGTTAACTTTTTGTTTGCAAACATTTTTATTATATTTTGCCAGGCACAAACTTTTATTTTTTTCTTTAATTTTCATTTATATTTTGTAAAGATTTATTTATTTATGCTTACAGAACTGGGGTACAGGCCAGAGGTATGGTGGGGGAGAGGATTCAGCAGAGACAGTGGAGAGCATAGCAGGTGGATCTACTGAAATACACTACTGAGGGGAGCAGCGGGTGGGTCAGGAGAGGTCTGCTGTGCCATGTGGGTCAGCTCCCTGGCGGGGGATCCAACTCATGCTGCAGTGGCTTCGGAAAGCTTCATAAAGCGGTGCTTTAACCCAGTGCGCCACCAGGGAGAGCCCAAAACTTTTATTTATTTATTTTATTTTATTTTTGTTAAGATTTATTTATTTATTCATCTAGAACTGGTGTACAGGCCAGAGATGCGGAGGGTGAGAAGATTCACCGGATAGAGAGGGCAGCAGAACAGGCAGATCCACGAAGTACACTGCTGAGGGGAGCAGCGGGCGGGTCAGGAGAGGTCTGCCGGGCCATGTGGTCACCTCCAGGGCAGGCGGGAATCGAACTCATGCGGAAGTGGCTTTAGCTTCTTAGTGCTCTGCTTTAACCCGCTGTGCCACCAGGGAGGGCCCCAAACTTTTATTTTTTAATTAAATTATACTGATCTTTTCTTTTATGAGTACTGAATTTTACAGTTTTAAAGTATATTTGTTTTGAAATGTTACATTCTAGTATCTTTAAATATGTGAGATTTTAATCAGTGCCTATTACCTCAGTCCTACAATTTGCATACACATCTGCCCTCTGAAAGTCAGGGAAGAAAAGTTCCCTATACTTCAGTACTAATTAGCTCCTAATTGTAGGAGACCTCATATGTTCTCAGAGTTTCAAAAAGTGTTGTCTTTGCTTTTCTTAATTGGACTATTAGATTGCAGATTCAGTGAAACATGACCACATGCTAATTTCTTATGTTCCCATAGCTACTCAGCTCTTGGTTGGAATCCAAACTTTAGGAGGTGAGAAGAGAGGGTCCTGCCAGAATTCGAAAGTGGCTGGGGACCACTGTTCCTATGCCCTGAAGCCATGTCCCCTTAGCCTGGGTCTTCCTGTCACCAAATTGAACAGCAGTGATCTGGCTGTTAGAGTCTAATAATTTTTGTTCATGGGCTATCTAGAGGGAATTAAGCTAGCAAAGGCTGGAGACCAAAGAGCCTAAAACAACAGTTTTAGGAACTGTCACCTTCAGTGTCCTTGTTTCTTTCTGGGAGTATGATTCCTTTTATTTCTTCCACTTTTTTGACTACCATATTAATGCTGCTCTTTGGTGTTTGATGCTTATGCTGATGCTGTGCCATACCTGGGGTCTTTGACTAGGAAGCCTCTTACATGCTCTTGATAATTTTTTCAGTGGTTGATGACTGAGCTTCTTTCGTTTTACATCAAGTTCATTTGTCAAAGCCTTGGATTGAATGGGGAAACTGTTGGCACGGGAATTGTTGGGGTCCCCAAGGGCTGATTCCATCACAGAGTAGGTGACTGAAGTCGGAAAGTCTGACTCCCATCACATCCTTGTGGCACATGGGGGTGGAGGGCCAAGCATGTGTTAGATATGATCCTTGTCTCCAGGGACTCTGCAGTCTATTCCATGACACTGGAACGTTAGAGGTGTCTTGGGACGTTGTACTTGGCTATGGCCAGAGAAGGACAAGACCATATGATCTTGTACAGAGAAAAACTTTTCTCCAGGAGGGTAGACTTGAGTGTGTTCTGAATTCAGATGGCTCTTGAGCTTAGATAACGAAAACCTACCTCTCCATTTACATCGACTTCTAGCACTTCCTTCATGATGAATGTAGGGGCAGACTTCAATGCCTGTGACACCTTGAGCTCTACAATCACAGAGTATTTCTACTGTGGCCCCTCCCTGGTGGCACAATGGGTTAAAGCACAGCACTGCAAAGCTAGAAGCTAGCTGTAGCTGCCTCAGCATGAATTGAATCCCTGGAGAAGGAGGTGACCCACATGGTGAGGCAGACCTCTCCTGACCTGCCTGCTGCTCCCCTCAGTCTGTCCTGCTTCCCACTCTGTTTCTCCCCAATCCTGTCACTGTCCCTGCACCTCTGGCCTGTACCCCTGTTCTGTATGCATAAATAAATAAATAAATCTTAAAAAAAAAAAAGAGTATTCCCATTGTATCACATCCTTTTGAAAGTGTGCTAGTTATGAGACCTGCCACTGGATGTTATTCGATGAATTAAACACATTATTAATATGCCCATTTTGGAAAAAAGATTTTGGTCACAGTAATAATTTGACATAACTGCTTCATCTTATAAATCTATGTATTGTATTTCATCAATTTGAAAACCCTATTCTAATGTCAAGGGTTTTTGGTTTCTCAGCTGCTAGCTTAGTTCTTGGGGCATAGTAATAATTGCTTAATAAGTAAATTAAAAAAATAAACAGGGTCATTAGTTTGACTAGATAAGTTGACTTAAGAATTAGAAAAAACATGAATATGTATTATCTGTATTATCTAGTTTCAAAAAACACATTTAAGGCAGCTAATTAGAATAAATAACACATAAAATAGCTTAAATGAACTAGGAATTAAGCAAGGAGTAAGGGCTAAAGAGGAAATCATAGAAAACAGATCTGGATCTTGCAAACAATGCAAAAAAGAAAAACTGAACAGTTGTCTAACTGCATCCTTAAAACAAAACAAAACAAGGAGAAACAGCACAGTAATTTTTCCTGAAAGTTTTATCAGAGAAAAGAGAACCAAATTTTGCTCTTTTTCCATGAGTCCTTCAAGTTATTCACACAAGGGTACAGGTTGTATCTGAGCTGAAGACTGAGCAGGAGCCTCACAGAAATGACAAAGAATGAGGCTTCTTTGAGGAAGATGCCAGTGAGGGAGGCTGTGGAGCTCAGATTGCTTTTGAATACCATCAGGACCGTGAAGAAGCTGAGAAGTGGACACACTGTGGATGACAACAGGTGTGTACTGAAAGGTGACCTGGGAAAGCCCCTGAAAAGGGCCCAGAGTAACAGAAAGAACAAACACATACGGGGACAGGAGCTGTGGGACGAATACCCTGTGCTTTGAGGGGAGCAGGGAGCCTGATGACATCGCCTACATTTGGCCACTGTAATGCTGACAACTTGACAAAAGAGCAAGCCAGAGGCAAGGAAGGTTCGGAAGAAGAGTCTGTTCCATGATTCAGTCATCCCAGGAAACTGCGCCAAGTGTGGGGAGTTGGTGACCACTTGCTGGGATCTTTTTTTTTTAAGATTTATTTTTATTTATTGATGCATACAAGAGCTGGGGTGTAGGCTGAGGGCAGGGAGGTCAGAGTATTCACCAGAGACAGAATGGGGAGTATAACAGGTGGATCTACTGAAATACACTGCTGAGGGGAGCAGCAGGTGAGACAGGAGAGGTCTGCTGCACCATGTGGGTCAGCTCCCTGGGTGGGAGCTGCAGTGGCTACTGATAGCTTGATAGCTCTGAGACTTTAACTTTTGCAATGCTAGGGAGGGCTTGGGACCTTTATTTATATAGATGATCCCTCTTTCTCATCATTAAAGATGTCATCAGCACTGAAGTAGGGAACTTGACATGTGCCTGGGGTCTAGCCTTGTTTACAAGAACCAGCTCTGGGACCTGACAACTGCTTCCTACCTAAGCATTAAGGACTGGTCCTCAGAAGCTCTCTCTGCTGTTCCCTTCATTTCTGTGAATGCAGACAAACAGCACTCACCATCCTGGGCATGAATCCTTAGACACCCCAATAACTTTGCTCATTAGAAACCAAAATGTGAAAGTCCAGAACCTAGTATGCATTTAACCCTATAAACTTAAACAGAAAGTCACACAAATTGGATAACTAAGTGAACTAGCTTGACCCTTCCATACATGCAAATTAAAGAAAAAGAGAGAGTAAAGAAAATGTATCTTACTTTGGGATTCAAGTCAAAGAAGGTGTAGTATTTAAATCGTAACAGCAACTGCTCATCCTCCTTGACGCCTTGTTCCATAAGGGAACGAGAAGAGTCCAGCCAACTAGAAAGCAATAGGATCAGTTTTAAAAGTCGGTGTTATACATCTTACATATTATGTTTGTCAATACATGGACAGGTTGCATATGTACAGATGCATTCACACACACACCAGTGCTCACAAACACACAATCTCCTTGAACAAAGTCCCTGTAAACAATGTAATAAAACCAGTAAGGGAGAGGACTTGATAAAAGCTTATAACTACATTTTATCTTATAGGCCTATAATTGCCAAGTGCTTTTTGTGTCCCGCTGGTCCTCAAATAGTATCATTTTGTTCAATGTTTTGTTATATCATGGAGGGGTAAAAAAATTTGCCCTGAGATCGAACAAGTGACATTATTCAAGGGTCTGCTTTTGTGCTATACTGCGGAGCCAAATATCAGTTTCCAAGAACCCATGGATGACATTATTGCATGCTTTTTTTTTTTTTTTCTTACTGGCAATTGGAAAAAGTGCAGTAATGAAAGCAGGCCAGTTTACATTTTCTCAGCTGTATAGATGGGGAAATGGAATCTCAGTGACATTAAGTCCTATGTCCAAGGTTCAAGTGCTATGTTCACATGCTTCATGGTTTAATCCAGGATAACAACCTGTATTTTTGGTTGGCTTACAGCCCTCCTATATAACATGTGGCCCAACCCAAAGCTGGTTCTTCCTTATTGCCTAGAACATTCTGAAATATGGGAATAATCTATATTGTCCTATTCAGAAAAGTAGTCACTAGCCACCTGTAGCTACCGGAGATTTAAATAAAGCTAATGTCACATTTTAATTTTATTTCAAATTTAAATATCCACATGCAGCTCTTGTACTGTACTGGATAATATTATTCTAGACTTAAAAAAAAACTGGCAATGGTGAAGAGGTAGAGATTAAAAGTTATCAAAAAGAGGTGGGGTTGAAATTGGTCCAATTCTGCTCAATGAAAATAGCTTGAACTTCTATCATATCAAGCCCTGTGAGAATAGATAAGAAACAGTTTCTTTCCCACAAGAATTATCAATTCAATGGAAAACCAAATCTCAGAATAAAGGAACAAGCTGACATTGGAGAAGCAAAGTGTTAAAATCGAATGACCAAGAAGTGACTGATCTTGAAAGGTGATGTCTGAGGAGCAGGTACCTGGTGGGGCCTGAAAGGAGAAGCAGGGTATGTCCAGTACACAGGAAGGAAGGTGATGAGGAAAAGATGAGCAGAGCAAGACCTGGAAACGAGGGAGCATGCACCAGGTGGCTGGGTAGGAGAGCACAGCAGGACAGGCCGTGCTGGTGCAAGATCTACAGGGGTCAAACGTGTTCACAAGTATCACTGTACTTGGTGAACAATGGGGAAAGAAAGAAAGGGTGGTTGAAAATGGAGTGTATTTTCTGAGGCTACATCAAACAGAGGTGAGGGACTTGTTGCTCAAAAGATCTACAGACAACAAAAGGCAACGTGGACCAAGTGGGCCTCCTTGGATCTTCCCTGACTCATGGGACCACCCCACTTACACACTGCTCGACATTCTGTAGCATATATTGTGCACACAGCAAAGACTTGCACTCACATGGGGTAAATCCATTGAGTTACCAAACACATAAATGGCATACTTTGGCTGTAGTGAAATGAGGGATGTCTGCATTTCCCCTTGAGCTGCTAACAATCAGTACTGGCGTTTGCAAATATTGTACAATCCCCAGACTTGTCTACTTAAAGAGTAAACAACACCTCATCCCATTTTTTGGGCATCTCTCTCACTAGATCAATATCAGTTCACAAAGGGTATGTCCTTACCCTGCATTGAGCTTGGCTTTATCAGCCAGAGTCCGAGGTTGGTACATTTCAGCGAGTGCTTCTGCAGACTGAGGGGGTTGACTGGATGCGAGGATGCTGCAGTTTTGTTCTGTCAAAGGGCTGTTGCTGAACCAAGTCATAGTGGATGATGCTGGTGTTCCACTGATGGGGTCATATGTGGGAATCATGGTTTTACTGTATAAGCCAGGACTTACTGCAAGGCAAAAGGGAACTGTCACTATGACATGAGATTCAGGGGGAAGGAACCTTTGGAAAAATAAGTGCTAACTTTGCTTATTCTAAAATAGATTTTGAATTTTGTGAACCAAAATCTGTGATTTGATTTTGTACCCTTAAAAATCATCATGACCCAGGCCCTCCATGTGGTGCAGTGGGTTAAAGTGCAGTACTGCAAGCCACTTCAGTGTGAGTTCCATCCCGTGCCCTGGAGGTGATCCACATGGTATGACAGACCTCTCCTGCCTTGCTCTCTCCTGCCTCACCCTCTCCAGCCTCACCCGCTGCTCCCCTCAGCAGTGTACTTCGTCAACCTGCCTGTTCTGCTCCTCACCTGTCTCTGCTGAATCCTCTCATCATCCCTGCACCTCTGGCCTGTACCCCAGTTCTGTATTCATAAATAAATAAATCTTTAAAAGAAAAAAATCAGCATGACTCCACTCCTGGTTGATATGGAGAGAAGGCAAATCTCTTGCCTGAAAATTTATCTCCTGAAAGCTTGGGAATTCGAATTTCCAAAATCAAACCAGACACATAATAAGGACTCTTCTCAATGATTCAAAAATGTTCTATTTCAGCTGTAAATTTTGACACTTTTAAAGAGCTGGAGAGTGCAGATTGTGTGCACATACTATATATTTGTACAAATCTTTTAAACAAATCACAAGAACTCAGCTGGTTTGTAGTTTACTATCAATCATCTGATTTGTATAGAAAATGATAAAAGCCCCTTTATTCTTTGCACTGGAATGTGCGATGTTATAAAACTTTCAGGGTTACAGCAAGCTAGAGTTTTTTTTTTTTTTAAAGATTTATTTATTTATTCATACAGAGCTGGGGTACAGGCCAGAGATGCGGAGGGTGAGAGGATTCACCAGAGACAGAGTGGGGAGCAGAAGAGGCAGATGGACGAAGTACACTGCTGAGGGGAGCAGCGGGCGGGTCAGGAGAGGTCTGCCACGCCATGTGGATCTCCTCCGGGGCAGGCGGGGGCAGGCAGGGATCGAACTCATGCAGAAGTGGCTTAATCTTCTTAGTGCAGTGCTTTAACCTGCTGTGCCACCAGGGAGGGCCTAGAGATTTATTTTTATATGTAAGGATGGATGATGTGCCCCATGTGAACTTTAAGTTGAATTTAGGAAAGCATCAAATGAAGATAGTATCAGGAAAAAAGAAACATAGAGTAAACCAATGAATCATTTTCTCCACCAAATCCTCGCCAGTCTACTCCAGTTTTTTATTCATCAGCAACAAAGCTTGTACAGTTGAAATGATGAGTTATAAGACATAACATACTCAATGTCTAATAGTATTAAAACTAATTGATAACCACTCTTCACCACAGAAATGCCTTCATTTTAGCCATTCTTTGGAGGAAGAAGAGTGAAGGAAGGGTAGAGGAGAGAATTCTTAGGTGTTAAGGAATTATGTATTTGATATTTATGAATAAAAATCACAAAATACCTGTTATGCAGCTTACCTGGTGAACCTGAAATTGTTGAAGAAGTCTCCAGGTTCAAAACATCTTCAATGATGGGCTCTTTATTATTTTTATCTTTTTTTTTCTTCTTTTTAAAATAGTCATCAGAAGGCTTTAGCAAAGAAAGTTCTTCTGATCGTCTGATATCTAATTAATAAATAAAAAAAGAAAGAAAATAAACAAAAAGTAAGTTTCAGGCCCTCCCTGGTAGCGCAACAGGTTAGGACGCAGCACTGCAATCTGGCCACAGCTGCTTCAGGGTGAGTTCTATCCCCAGCCTGGGGGGTGACCCACATGGTGCAGCAGACCTCTCCTGACCAGTCCAGTGCTCCTCTCAGCAGTGTACTTCATCAATGTGCCTGTTTTGCTTCCCACTCTGTCTCTGGTGAAGCCTCTCACTGACCCTGCCCTCTGGCTTATACCCCAGTTCTATATGCATAAATAAATAAATCTTAAAAAAAAAAAAAGTTTCTGGGACCCTTCCTGGTGGCACAGCGGGTTAAAGCACAGCACTAAGAAGCTAAGGCCATTTCAGCATGAGTTTGATCCCCAGCCCCGGAGGTGACCCACATGGCGTGGCAGACCTCTCATGACCCGCCTACTGCTCCCCTCAGCAGTGTGCTTTGACAGTCGGCCTGTTCTGCTCCCTGCTCTGTCTCTGGTGAATCCTCTCACTGTCCTGGCACTTCTGGCCTGTACCCCAGTTCTGTATGCATAAATAAATAAATCTTTAAAAAAAAATAAGTTTCTTCTAAGATTCAGAGTTGGGCATTTGAGACCATTTCTCAGGCAACTCTTGAGAAATGAATGGAACTAAATTGTATCCCTTTGTAAGAAATAGAAAGGGAACAGACTCCATAAGTGGGAATACACTATTCGAGGGGCTCAAATAGTGGAGGATGATTCAGTTCAGTAAAGTTTGTAGTTTTATAATTTATTATGAAGCTATTTCAAATGTATCCAAAGTCAAGCTTATTCTCAACCAGCTAGCATCAACTAATACCAGCATTTTGCTGCTCTTGTTTCATTTACTTACTACCAGTTGTTTCCTGCCTTTTTCCCTCCCTCTTTACATTTTTTTTTCATTAAACTAATTTATTTTCTTACATAAATATATGTAAATTTCATTAAATTTACTTATTTTCTTACATTGTTGTTCACTTTTGTTCAGTATTTTAATTCTCCCACCCAGGTGTAGACCCCATAGTTCTCCTACTACCATAGCATCTTAGCCACAGAGCACACTTTCAAAAAACAAAGAAAAGAACACCCTCATGACACAGGTTCACTGCCATTGTGGAAATCCAGAAAGGAGAAATGGTTTGGGCTGTCTTGCCCTACTGGCTTTAAACTCATGGGGTGCCAACCCCTAAGGATGAATTTTCAGGACATAATTCAGAGAAATTTTCTGCTTAACCTCCACAGATGGTTTTTGTGGCTAGAGCTGTTCACTGGAATCTAGTGTCAGGGAAGCCTGGTGACTTTGTAACCCCATATTCTCAGAAACAGTTAAGTGTCATCAGCTCTGTGGTGAGAATGATTTCACCAACTCTCATTTTGTCATAAAGAGGATGATGATTTTAGTGAAGCGTGGAAAATGAAATTTGGGGAAATCTTAATGGGCCTGTTGCTCTTCTATTCACAAATTCTTTTAAGCTGTGTGGAAATGACTCTGACTCAGTTCAGTCATGTTCCATGTGGTTGAATTCCATGTACATGGCAAATGTCCCCTGAACTGGGCTTACATGTGCTTCCTAAGGGAAGTGCTCTATAAAACCAACTGCTTGAGGTAGAAGAAAGCACATAAAACTTTCCCACCCTCCTTTGCTGAGTCCAGAGAGAATGACGTATGGCCAGGTACTCACTGAGGGTTCTGCAGATGTCACTGACAGTTTTAAAAACCACAGCTGAGAAGCTGACTCGCAATCTCACTGTCTTCACGTTTGGCAGGCGGAGGCGAAGCATTTTATGCTGAGGGGTGAAGAGAAGCTTGGCATCTGCCTGGACACCACATTTGTCAAGAGTCCAGTGTGTTTTCAGAAGCCAGCAGTGCTTCTGTTCCCACCAGAGAGCAAAGTCTGACCAGTCTTGGGCAATTTCTGCAAATATGGAAAAGGCGGTGAAAAAAAAAGGTAAACCCCCACCATGGTTGCTTAAGGCACATATTCCCTGACAAAAAATAAAGTGTTTAAAAAAGAAAATTGCTCCTAGGAGGGAAGAAAAAAAGGAAGGCAATGAAGTTAAAACCTTGAGAGTGTGCCCTGGGTTATTCCATTGTGTGCCAAAGGGAAGCAAACCTTGGCTTCTCTTCAAAGGCTTTAGGTGGGGCAGATAGATGGCAGAAACCGAACTTTATCTTTGTTCTACTGAATAGTAAGGAAGGAACAGAGATATACACATTTGTTTACCCTGAAATGCTGGAATTCCCTTCCCTAAGTCCATAAGGCTGTGGTCCTTTCGGGGAAGGTTTAATCAAAACCATTTCTCTAAAAGAAATATACCTTATGCCACAATATCATTCCACCCTTGGATCACAAGGAAATAGGAACACTCTTCTCAGCCAAGTCCACCTCTTGCCAGCACAACTGGAAGCCGAGTTTCAAGGTGTATACACTGAAACTAGAGCCCAACACTTTTTCTCTCAATGTTGGCATCAAAAGTGTTGGAATGAAAGTTGAATCTTTTCATCAATGTTGGAATCAGTAGTCAACTTTTGTTTTGCTAAATGAAGAGCACCTCTTAAAAAATGGTCTCTTTTAAATAAGAAAGTCTTTTAATGCTGTTATTAAAGTAGAAATTGGTCTATTTTGAAAAATTCTGTTATTCATCTATTTCTCTCTGCACTTATATCCAATAGGAATGCCTATATATACTCACCAAAAGATATTACTATCACAGCCCTCTCTGTAAAAGCCTGATGAAGGAACCAACTCAAATGCCCATCAAATACCAACTCAAAGGTAAGTGGGTAAATGTGGAATATTATATATCAATGAGAACAAAGCCAAACACTATACAGCCATGTGCATAAATCTCCAGACAAAAGGAAAAAAATGGATTCATCAGAGTATATTCCATATAATCTCATTTATATACAGTTCACAAACAAGTAAAATTATTCCTATGTTACTAGAATTCAGGGTAGGGGTCACCTGTGACGAGGCAGTAATGAGATGGGGAGTCAGGTGTGGGACCTGGCTGGGGAAAGAGGTAATGTTCTGCTTCTCCATCTAAGGGGCGATTTCATGACTAAAAATTAATTGGTTTGTACACTTAAGTGCACTTTATGTATAAATATTGTTTTTTAGATTCGCTTTAAAGAAATCTATCTTCTAGTATTAAAAAAAAAAAAAGCCGACCTCCAGGGCCTTAAATTGAAGACAAAATTAAATACAAAGAAAATAATAGAACATTATAAAATTTTAGGTTGATCATGTTGACTCCTGATGTGAAGAACTGGACCCTAAAGATTTTTCTTTCTTTGTTTAACCAGGAAAAGGTGACTAATTGTTAAATGGCACATTAGCACCAAACTGCTGATTTCACCAAACAAGCAAGCACTAACAGAGTCAAAACAATAATCTAATGCCATGTCACTTAAAGTCACCCTAAATGTCAGAATGCGTTCCATCCTTATGGAAATATTGCATTACACTGGGGGAGGGGGGGAGATTCAATTTGCCAACCAAGTGTTTACTGGCTGGCTCTTTCCTAGGTGGAGAGGGGCAATACTCTCTGGGGCATTACTAGATGGTTACAAGACCGAAAATCAGATAACCTAGGTAAGTCATTTCATGGTGATGTAGCGGAGAAGGTTTCAAATCCTAAGAAGCCATAAAAAAAAAAAACAAAACAACCCAGTAACTTACTGATATCTTCTACTAACTTGAGCATCACTCCCCCAATGTGGAGGTCTCCAGACACTGCCAACTTCACTGTTCTCTGGTTCTCTTCATTTGGAATGTCCACTTGGATGACAAGCTGCCAGGAAGCAGCTGCAAAGTTCCCAGATGATTGCATTGTGGCAAATGCAGACGTCTGCTGCATGAAAGCGCAGATATATTTCAGAACTTAAGGAGAACACTGAGCTTGCCAATACACCTTGCAGAGCACATTTTTGTTCTTTTTTCTAATTCTCTTCAAACTCTGCCAGCACCTTGTATTACACTTAGTATCTTCACTTAGGCAAAAAGTTTATAAAAATGACCTCAAGCCTTCTGAATTTATATAATTCATCATTTTTCACTTTCCAGTACTACTTGGCTATTTATTTTCTATGCCTGCAAATGCATCATTTCTCTGAACTATCTAGCAATGGCAACAAAAATTGGCAATCTTTGACACCTTTTATAAAATCAATTTTTGAAGTCTAATTTGCATCAAATAAAAACAATTGTAAATATAGATTTCAATGCACTTTGTGGTGTGCAAATTATATTCAAAAAGGATATCATTTAACTATCTGTAATATAAATGTATATGGACATTTTTCCAGTATCAGTAATATCTAATGAGAAGATGTTCTGATATCACTAACACCTGATAAGAAAATAAAAATATAGCAAAATAACTTTATTTTACTTACATAATATGTAGTTTTATTTTAAATGCATATAAAACAGTGATCATTAGTTTATCCAGATACAGATAATTATTGCCACATATTTGATTTAATTATTGCCACATATTTGATTTTCTTATACTACGAGTTTATACCCATATGACAGTAGATACACAAATGCATTAATTAAGTTTCTGGACATACCCGTGGCAAAAGATTTACAAGCAGAGTGAAGGACTTTCAAAGCCCATTCCCCAAAGTGCAGCTGGGGTGAGAACTTCAAGCCCGTGGTTTTCCCTTTATTGGAAGAAATACAACTAAAGAAATTAGCAGACTCAAAATGTAGTTACAAGTCACAAGTTGACAACTGCATTTCAGACTGCAGACCCAGAAGAGTAATCGCCATCTCAAAATACACAAAATAGGTGAACACTGACAATCTGGATTAGGCCAAATTCTATTTGCTTGAATCAAATCCAACATTTCTGAAAGAGTACCTTATTTTTTTATGTGCAGAAGAGACCACTGCATAGGGGGAGGGGAAGAGTGGGGGTGGGGAGGGGCATGGGAGGCTGAAATAAGACTCTTAAGTCTCACAGCCAAACTCCTGGTAGTCTTCACTAATCATTTCTATTAACATCAGTCTTTCCCTAGTGAAGAGATGAAGAAGATAACCTCCTTCATCGTCACGTTCTTAACATGGACTCTGGCTGTTTGACTTCAATCTCTATGATCCGAGCATTAGTTATATCCCGTGTTTTGTACAGAAAGAAAATAGCCTTACTTTTACGATGACTCCTTGCAGTTTATTTCAAAAGCACATCAAGGCTTTCCTAACCTAAGCCATCAAAACTTGAGGCCGTGGGTAGTGAGTCCCTTACAACGAAGTTATAGACCAGCTGGTTCCCCTACATTCCTCTCCTAGCCTGCCTGCACCTTCATTTTTGAGAGACCTTCTCATCTGCAGCATGCTGTTACTTGTTGAGGAGAGCAGTAAACTTCAACCAGGAAAGCTAAGGCCAGCAGCTCCTCTCTTCCTGGGTGAAGCTCAGCTGCTCACCGCCTGTCTTTTAAAGAAAATGCAAGACAGAAAGAAAGGGAGTGGTAGAGAGATCAAGAGGCACAGGCAGAAAGACAAAGAGCCCCTGACTCCCCCTGGCAGATCAGGGTGAGCAGGTCCGAAGGTCATGCAGTGTTTTGCCAGCGCAGTAGCCTCGGCAAGTATGGTGGGCGAAACGGAAACCTGCCCTTCCCCCCGTAAAGCAGCACCTAAGGCAGGATCGAGAAGTTTATTTTTTGCGGTCTGATGCGCAGGGCACACGCGGAAGACTTTATTTTTTAACTCAGCAGCCGCTGAGGTGCGAGGAGCTGCAGAAAGGAAGGGAGCAGGGGTTTCCGGAACAGCCTGCCCATTACAGCCTCCCCTCCCTGGCAGTCTGTAGCCCCAGCCGCTTGGCACCCACCTCCTGTCCCTGAGCCTGTTGCGCTCAGGGAGCCTCTCAGATGCTCACTTGGAGGGCTGCGTCCCTAGAGACCCCGGCAGTGGCCACCCAGGAAAAGCCAGCGGTGGGCGCTGGAGAAGTGGGGCGCGGAGACGCACGGTCGCGGCGGCGGCTCTGCTAGGGCGGCGGCGATCAAGGGCTGCACCCACACGCGCCAAGCTACCCGGGACCTCCGGCGGAGGCACCGTGCCCACCCCCGGCCAGACGCGAGCCGGGTGCGCTGTCTGTGCCTGTGCTGCAGCCGCAGGGGAGGCTGAGGCCGGAGCGCAGCTGGGCAGGCGACAGCATGCCCAACCCCGGGCCTGCTAGCTCTAGCTGGAAGGAAAGAAAGGCGCATCCGGCTGAATTTTTAAGGGCGAAGGTGCCTACAGGGCTGGTTGTGCGTGGCTGCGCAAGGCGGCGACGAACGCCCACGCCCAGTGCCCCTCGCGCGTTGCCTTTAGTTTCGCTGGTTCTAGGGTCTTGGCTAGGTGATGAAAGCGTTGCAACTCTCCCTGCCCGCCAGGTATATCCTGCAGTGTCGGCTCCAGGCTACAATCACTGGCTTCCTTTTAAAGAGCCGTAAGCACCTGCAGTCATCAAGGGAGGAATCTGCGGTGGCTCTTGTGTGAGTAAGACAATGATGTAAATCCCCAACCGTGAGACACCCAAAGGGTAGACAATGGAAGGTGGGGGTGGGGGAGTCCCAAGGCCAAGTATGCGGAGTCTGGGGTGGCTCACCTCAGATTTACCACTTTCCAGTTGGGTTTATTTCCTGTTGAATGTACGCTTTAATGCAAGCTGGGCTACTTGGAAAGAGGTGAACTAATTTACAGTAACTCCTCGAAGTTGCCTTTCATTTTGCACACACTGGTTGAATTTTTACTGTCAGGTTCCTGAGTCTGAGAATACAGTGTTTAATGAAACAGGTATGGAAACTGATATTGTCATTTCAGGTTTTCAGGAATGGATCCCAGCGCTGAGTCTCAGCCACTAGACGCCACAGGTCAGTGTCTCCTGAAGCCTCAGCACGAACTTCACTGATGCTCAGGCAAGCAAGCAAAAAGAGGCAGGTTTGATTAGAGAAAGATGAAGTTTATTAAGGAGAAAAGGAGCAGAAATAAAGTGGGACTTCCAGGCTGGTGGAACCAGGCCAGGGAGGAGAACGGAAGCTGAAGTGGAGTGGTGCTTCAGGGAATATATACTTTCTTTCCCTAATTATTCTAAAGCCCCAACAGTCTCTTTGGGATTGGTTAGTCCTCGTGGTCTCTGGTCTCACTCTGTCTTAAAATCTCTGGGCCCAGAATTGCATCTTGTGCCCCAGCCCTCATCTTAGAGTCCTTTTTCTTTATGTCCTGTTCTGGAATATCCTGCTGCCCCTGTACCTGAGGTGTTTGATTAGTCTCCGGAATTTGCTGCTCTTATCTCTGGAGTCTTTCTTATTCCTCTGAGGTTTTTCCTGTTCTATTCTGACCCTAAAGCTATCTAATTGCCCTGTGACTCAAAATGACAGTTTTCTTATGCATAAAATGGGTGCAATTTCACACACACCCTGTGACTCAGGGTTTAGTGATTTGGGTCAAGTTCCTAACGCCTGCAATATTGATTTAGGTGCTACCAATTTAAAAGCGGCATCTTTGAACATTGCCATATTCAGTCATTATTATGGTTTGCAAATTTAAATAATTAAATAGCAAAAGGTCCATTGAACAAGTGTTAGGAAACACGGGATTTTACAAGTAAAATAATTCAAAACCTGAAAATGGATTTCCTAACTTGCTAGTTTGTCAGCGATGGCATTAGGGTCAGCGGTGCTCTGGTTCTAGTTCCTTAACTGCTCAGAGTCACTGAGGCAAAGATGCTTTTCTTAGTCACAAAGTGTCTAAAAGTTTGCTTTCTGGATACTTCTCTTATATGATTAGAAATATAGTGATCCTAAAGTATTAATAGCTTTATTGACACCAAATTGGCTTCTCATTTTAGCTAAAACATCTGGAATGTGTTAAAGTATTTAACTGGTTTTTAAGTTTTCTGCTTAGCCTCATTTTTTCCCCTAAGCTTTAAATTATATTTTATAATAGAGACATACTTATATATTCAATTATGTCTTATGATGTGTCTATTTAATGATGCTTAAGTATATTTATACATTTAATTATATATTATATTTATAATATAAGCACAAATATTATATGGCTAATGAATTTTTTTTACACACTGAACACATCTATGTAATGAGCACCCAGATTAAGAAAACTTCCAGTTACCAACTCATTAAAAAATACTTGATTTTTCATTCTTTTGGTAGAATTTACCAGTCTTTGTACTGTATATAAATGGAATCAGACAATATGTGTTATTTTGTGTCTGGTGTCTTTTGTTCAACATTGTGCTTTTGAATTTCATTTATTGTGTTTCTTAAAGAAATTTAAAATTTTAACCTACTCTGTGGTTACTATCATTCTTGTGACAGTTTTAACCCATCTCCTGCGATCTTGGGTTAAAAATGGATTTGAAGCTATATTTTGAAAAAAAGAAAGTTTACTCTAGATTTCAGAACTTCTTTTTTTTTTT